GATGGAACAAAATTTCATTACTTATGAACTCAATTATAACTTTGAATGAAATCAATTTGGAATCTATTTCATATTCACGAAATACTTAATCTTTCACTCCCTTGGTTGTAGAGCAGTGATAGATTTAGGTTTAGGTTTCAGAACCTCAGTGTGGGTAACCTAATTTGTAAAATGGATTAATTCTGAATTATACGTGTATCGCTCGGTGTACTGCACGTTTTATATATGAGAACGTTTCGATAGATCTAAGCAAAAATTAAGCATTAAGATTGGTAAATGTTTAATTCGAAAAGGCTACCTGCAGACACCTACTATATACTGTTGTTAAACAACACACTGTCGTACAAGTAAAGCTTAGCCGGTCGGCCGTTAGAACTTGACGGTTTTGGGGAGTGATATTTAGTAAACAAACTGTCGTCTAATAGGGATGGTAGTATATTATTTTGTCGCCGACAATGCAAGACCGGCGCGACAAAGTACAAAATCGTCATAATAACGATAATTGACATATTATTATTATTATAATATAATAATATATCAAGATTTTATAAACGAAACACGGCGCGTAGGTCCGCCGGTCCGTCCGCTCTGCCTGCACCTGCAGCCGCGCGAGGTGGCGGTGGAAATTTGGGCGCCACCGCGAATTGCGCGCGCCCTGACCGACCCTGCCCCCCCACCACCAACGCCGTTGCCGGCTCGGATCGGGTCGCGGCCGGCCGGCCGGTCGGCGTGGCCTGTAACGCGGCGGGGGCCGCGCCCACCCGGCCGTGAGCGGCGTGCGCGGCGCGGGGAGCGAGAACGGCGACCACACCGCGGCGTGTGTGCGGTGCGTGGGCGGCGTGTGTGTGTGCGTCAGGCAGGCAGCTGCGTGCGTGTGTGCGCGAGAGTTCCGTGCGCGTCCGCTACGGTGCTCGCCGGCTGCTGCCGCTCTGCCGCTCGCTCGCCGCTACCGCTCGCTATATAGTCTCACCGCCGCCGCCGCCTCCCGACCGTCGGTGCGTGTGGCGTGTGTGCGTGCGAGCGTGGCCGTCGCGCCGGCAGAGCGAGAGAGACGCGAGAACGGTAGAAGGAGCGAACGAGTGAGACGGAGCGCGGGTGAGCGAGACAGAGCGAGCGCTCGCGCGCCGCCGCTGCCGCCGCCGTCTCAGTGTGTGTGTGTGTGCGTGCGTCGCCGGAGTGACTATTCGCCGGCCGGCCGCCCTCAGTTACGCGCGCGTATAGATAATAATAATAGTAATAATAGTAATAATTATAATAATAATAATAATAATATTAATAATAATAATAATAATAATAGTTATAGTAAATAACAATAATTTATTATAATAAATTTTTTTCGATTACCTATCATAAATTGGTATTATACTATATTGCCGATTTGTTGTGATTAATTTTTTTTTCTCTACTCATATTATCCCTCTTCCCTCTCGGACGCAACGACAACCGCTGTCTCGCCGTCACTGCCATCACGGGACGCGATAATATCATAAGAGTTAATATTTGCTATAATATACTATCTCCGCGGCCGTCGTCCCGTGTCGCTGTCGGATCGGTCAACCGCCCGACTGCTGTCGTCCTGGTGGTTTTATGCGACTAGGCATAACCTCATCACTGCCGCCATCACAGCCAACGTCTCTGTCTTCCGCCATCACGTGCGTCTCGGTCCGTCCCACGTGCGACGACAACGGTCTACTACTTCATAATAAGAGATAGTGATTGCCGAGCGGGTGGTGTCGTTGGTAACGGCGACGGCGGCGGCGGCGGCGGCGGCGGTGGCGGCGACGACGACGACGGCGGTGGTGGCATCAGCGACTGACTTTTACTTTTGTCCCTACCGGACGGCGGCCGTCTTCTGCTGCTGGAGCTGCCGGCCGGTGGTGTTGACGTCGTCGTCGTCATCGTCGTCGCCATCATCGTCATTGTTGTTGTTTTTGTTGTTGTTGTTGTTGTTGTGCACTCTCGCCACCTCCACCGCCGTCGTAGCTTTCGCCGTCACTTAATCAGGTCCGTCACACCGACTACAAACATCGTCGAAGTGATGCAACAACAATGCGGTTTTTGCGCCGCGGTGTCCGACCTTTTCCGGAGGATCATGTGCTTTAACGGCAGTAGGAGGGGAAGCGACCAGTCTTACTATCACGAGCTGGACAACGACGACCCTCAGATTGCACTAGTGAGTGGTTAAACGTCTAAGTTTCATTCCTAGCTCTCCGCGCCACCCCTTAATATTATTTTTATTTTTGTTTTTGTTTTCCACGTTTACCGGAAGTTTTTCGCTGCATTTGACCCGCGTGTATACGTATCATATTTTATTCCTGTTAAGTACTTTTTATGGTTATATATATATTTATATGTATAAGAAATTAAGCAAGCATTTGATATAGCCATTTAGGTACATATGCGTGCGGTGTGTATTTGCGAGCACGCGATAATTTTAAGAATGTATGGTAATAATAACATATTATATTGTATACCATGCCTGCAGATAATTATTGCACGTGCATGCTATCGAAAATCGTGTTTGTATACACATATATAACTGCTAAAAAAATGTTTTTAAAAATAAAACACTTAAACGTAGGTACCTTACACGTACAACACACATATGTGTCGTTCGTGCTATAACGTATAATATAATACATAGTTCGAACGTCGTGTCATATAACCTCGTTTATATTTTTTCAATATTATAATACGCGCCGTGTTGCAGTTGAACATACGCGTAAGGTTTTAAAAGTATATTTGAGTTTATCGTTTTTATATGTCGCCGATTGTGTGTATGTATATATATATATATATATATATATATATATAAGAAAGAGAGGTATACAATATACATTATACAGCCTTCGAGAGAAGGACTATACCATAAGCCGTTAAAGTTTACTGTTATGTGGTAGCACCATTCATAAAACTTTGGGATAGACGTTTTCGACAGGATACTAGTGTACTATGTAATATTTAATATTGTGGGTCTGAGTTTTTTTATTTCTAATATAATAATTATTATTTTTTCTATCATCAAGTGTTTATAACGGACTTCAAGAAAACAACATTGTGTATATGTGTGTGATCACCGTGTAGTAAAGGTCAATATATTTTTACAATAGTATTCCTTCCGGCTGGTCGGTCAAATAAATGCATAATATAGGCGTAATGCTGTATAATATAATAATTGTTTAACTCATATAGCACATTCATAATATTTAATATTATTTACCATATAATAGTACAGGATTTGGGATAATATGCTTAACATATTGTTGCTTCGACGCAACGCACACGTAGGTACACAATATTATTATTTTTATGATTATCGACGCGGTACAACGACCTCCGCGTCGCGAACCGATTGTTCCGAGACTTGTATTATTTCGTTTACTGTATATTACACGTCGTTTTGCGGTTATTACAATAAAAACTATTGCGAATCACCGTTTTTTTTTTCTATAAAGCGTATTGCCGTTTCATCGGAAATGTACACTCGTGTCTAGAAATTAATAATTATTTTGACAAAGCACAATTATTAATAGTCATACATTATTTGTTTTGTTTGAAATAATCCGAAAAAACAAAAACGCGGTATCAAACACGTCGTGTGGAAAATGAGACTTTTCTATATCTCTTATCAAACATATACCTTACCTATGCGTGTTCAGTCTGTATACGTATAATAGTATATTTTATATTTGTTTGTCGTAAGTATAATAATATTCTTCTTTTGCCGTACGCATATCGTTGCCATCTCATACTTTATCGACGTTGTTTAACGTGCTGACGTTTCCAAATAAATTACTATTATTTTCGTTTCGTCCTAGGATATAATATACGATAATATCGTTGGCTTTATAAGCGGCAAACATTTGTAAATATTATACTCTGGCCTAAAAATTATTTGTGCGTAGGTCCAATTCTATGTAAATAAACTGCACGAGCCAGTCAAATTGACGTAGGATTTGAACAACGTGTCATCTCATTAATTGAAGCTCAAAGCGTGTACCTGTATATATTGGTTAGAAAATTAATAGGGTTATTTACGTATTCGTGAACCTTTGGTTAACTCAATAAATGGGACGCGTAGACGGTAATTAGATACGTTTTCAAAGTACATCGTTAACCTAATTATGCAACGAAACACTCCCCATCCAAGAAAAAAATATTCGTTGAGAGTATGGGGTATATGATTATCCTTTATTATTATGTAGTATTCATACCTTGTAAAGTATTTATTTCTCGATTAAGTGATCGATTTCGTGTATGGAAACATGTGTGAACATATTGGCTACTGGCTGAAGATAGTAAAAATCATCCCATTCGTTACAAACCTTGTAAGTTATAACATTAATATAAAATGCGTGTAATTTATAATGTGTATTATAATGTGACGCATAAATTAATAATGATATTTGCGAGTTCCTTTATTCTGTAGTGTGCAAGTTGTATTCTAATTGTATTACCTATAACGATTATATAGCTATACTCACTGTTACTGCAATTTTTCCATTTTCCGACTTGGGCGGTATTATCATTAAACGTGTACACTAATCGTTTGTTTGTTGCGTTATTTAATCTCGAATATTACCGTGGAAGTTTCGTTGTACGAGGTATTGAGCACCTGTGCGTCATAACAATAATAATAATAATAATAATAATAACACGTTTCCCGCGTGCATTTGATTGACGACGATTTAAGTCAGCAGATTTTTCTATTTGTACGATTGGAGTGTATTATGTAAACCCTTAATCGAATTTCAAAATCTGAGTGAAGACTTAAGCCGATATTAATCGCTTGGCGCCGTTTTACTACCAGCAAAATCATCTTTAGAGCTCTAACCTTGTTGACTCAATGAAGTACGCGTTTAACACACACACACACACACACACATACTATATACTTGTATGCACATTGCACATACAACGTGTACGTACGAGAATTCGAGAATTTTTATTCAATATATTTTATTATTATTTTTTTTTTTTTTTTACCGCCCGTGTTTCTTAATGACGTAGGTCGTTAATCCTGGAGGTGCTCTGTTAGCGATTTCACTTTCACACGTACAACAACTATCAGTGTATCGCAACAACCAGTTCAAACTTTTTATTATTATTATATTATATCTTTTTACTTGCACACCGTGACTGAGTAGTTACTATTTTACTCTCACCATTTACCGGTTTATCGATATTCGCAACATAGTACTTCTTTTCTACTTATAATGTATGCGGATTTGCGTGTGCATATTAAAGGGTCAACTATATTATAATATTATAATTGTATATATTATATTCGAAAACCTGCGAATGCATGTTACACTACGTTACGGTATGAGAACATCATGTTGTAGAATTTAGGTGACGGTTAGGTTATACTATATTTCTACGTGCAGTCGTTCTCAGTCGTCATACACATAAAGTGCGTGTCGCGCGTGCGTGGTGCGTTTCTACTACCAACCTACTTATATATATATATATATATATATGTGTGTGTACCGTTATCAAAGTGATCGAGTATTTGTAATGTAATATATCCTTAATGTTCTGAAAGTTTTATTTCATCCCTCGATATAGTGATCATTTTTGTTGCTGGTGGATATTCGTTATTAGATTTTGGACATTGACAATTCACGATGACGAAACACTGTAGTGCAGATCTGGTATTATTATTTTGTCAGCTATACGTATTAAAAATTAATAATAATTTGAAATATCTATGCACATACAGTGTTATTATATTGTTTCCTATATTATGAAGCATGTTGTTATAGGAGAATTGATATTATTTTAAAATGTTAACGGGTCAAAAAAAAAAAATAAAATAGTCTAGACTCTAGACGCAATAGGATAAATCAGTGGTCACAATTACGGCAAACAACCGCCTTTAAACTTTAAAATAATGTAAGCTATTGATTATTTTATATTTTTAACTAATAAACGCATATCAAGTATTTGATCGCAAGTCGGTTAGTGATAGAATAAAGACATACACAAGTGTATTATTTATTAATTACATTATTTTTTAGTAATAATGTAAAATCTGTATTGTTGTCAGGTCCGTGAAACATTTTTAAATTTTGAATGTGGCGCGATAATCTAAAAAGGTTGCTGGTCACTGAGACGGGAGTTTCCCGTTTCCGCCTAAATAATATTATCTGTTTTTTCCGCTAAAAACGAAAAAGGTACGATTCCCGTTTCGCCAATTATTATTTGGGAACCATGTACAAATGTTTCATATTCTTATCATTATAAATTATAATACAAGTAGATAATAATAATCCTTTATTCGAATATTGGCACAGTTAAATTAGAGTTTTTAAATATTATTATATACAATCGCATAATACATTTACGATATTTTATACATACCACAACACATATTGCTTAAAAATTAAAATCATTAGTTTTCAAAGTTTTTTTTTTGCGAAAACGGGAATCATACCTTTTTTTTTGGTAGAAAAGGGTTAGGCGTAAATCAGGGAACCGGTTTTTTGGCAGAAACGGGCCATGACCACTAAGATAGTCAAAAGTAACGTGTATTGTATCGTAACCTTCTGTATCCTGTCTGACAGATCGTCACCGCTAAGAATCGTTTTTCGAATATAATAACAGGTATATTATTTAATTAAAATTTAACACATTCATTACAATTACCCACTCATACAACACTGTACCGCTTAGTGATATTTTTAGTGTTGTAAACTTGGGCATTGGAACATGCCGTTAATGTAAGGTAAAACTATACAAAGTAAATGTGTACAAATACGGTTGATTAAATTGTTTTTATAGGAATTCGCTGATAATTTTAGACCGCAAAATATATTGTTTTATTTCATTGTGTTATATTTTACGTAGTTATTATGATTTGTGAGTGCCTAAATATGCAATTATTAAATAAACATTTACGCGTGAGAACAGTTTTAACTACAATTATTGTTATAGTATAATATTTGATAATATATGCAGGTTACAAGACTGTTTGGTATAGGTATATTATTGCAGTGTATACGACAGTTTTGTAAATTAATTTGAAAACTGTATAGTATTTAGTTCAACAACTAAAATTATAGCCAGGTCAAAGGACCGTGATGAATAAATGAGTTTAAATGTTAATCGGTTCGATAGGTTTAGACTGTTTAGAGTTTATGTGAATAACAATTTTTGTTTATTAACTAAACG